ATCTAAAAACTATAATTATTGAAATGACAGGAAATAAAGGCTTAAAACACTTAACCCCATAAATCTAAATTTCACTTTTTAAAATGAGGGATTAAACTATAAAGATGTATCGGTCAGAACTGAAGCTGTACACAGTCAAAATATCACTAAAACAACTAAACACTTTAGAAAGAAAAACAGATGCATCAGACAGAGAAGACTTAGGATATAAAGAACTTCACTTCAACTTAGCCCGTCATCTAAGTTGAGGCAACAGTGCCACCTGTTGAGCAATGAGGGACATGTCAGTGTTGGGCACTATCAGCATACCAAGTCATCAGGGGAATCTGCATGCAATCCTCCAATTTGAATGAAGCTTCCCTCACTTGCGAAGTGGACCTGCAGATGTTCGGGGATCGCAGACTTTGCAATCCTGTTGGGCACGTGGGAACCAATCAGAAACTCGTTGCTTAGATCCAGGAGCTTAACGTGAAGAGCAACAGCTTCTTTCCTCTGTATAAAAAAAAGAAAGAAGAGATAAGTGGGGGACATAATTTGCAGCCTTAATAGTAGGGCAGTAATAGTAAAGAAATGCTCACCAGTTTATCATCCAGATGAATTCCACTAATTTCAAAGTCAAACATGAATAACTCTGCCACTCGCCTAGGAAGAGAAAAAAACATAAATCTCGACATCCTCGGGATACTTTTCTGTTAAAGCAAACCAAAAACTGAATATCATATATTTACTTTGTGTCGGGGTCCAGCTCTGCCACAGCTTTTGGGTTGTCCAGTAAATTTTTCAGGCTCTTGCATAACTCCACATTAGTGTTCAGCCTGCAACAAGCATACATGATGTTTTTAGGGTCCTGCTTTACTCCCATGTTGTTGCAAGTCATCAAACTCCGTGAAGACATATGCATCTTACTTCTCTACAACTGTGCCAATCTCTATGCAGGTCTTCTCTGCAGCTTCGCGGTAGGCTGGGTCTGGATGGGCCACTTTTATAAAGTCTGCCTGCAAATAAAGGAAAAGGACAAGGATATTCTCAGACTAAGCAACTCATTCTCCTGCTGACTTAGAATATCTTAAGAGTTCATCCCCCGAAGACAACTTTTTAAACAAACAGAAAGGGATCAAAAACATATCAAAAAAGGACAAATGAAGAGGAAACAATGAAAACAGAAACAACCATCTTAGTGGCCAAATCTGAGATTAGGAACCGAGAAGTTTTAGAGCTTCATTTCGTAAAAGCAGGTAAGAGTGCTAGCATTATTAAGATGGAAAAGAATTTGTAAATCTGGGTGTATATACTGTGATTGACTGAAACCGAGGTATTCTTACTGAAGATTAT